AGGCTGGAAAATTTGGCTAAGGAGAAAGGGATAAGATTAACAGGGGTCTTCAAAAACGAAATTAACTGTAAGTGTAATTAAGTGTAAAATATAATTAATTACAAAAATTAAAAAGTCATTATATTGTAAAATTAAGTTAGTGTATATTGACAATAAAAAATTTAGTAGATAGTATTTATTGAAGAAACAATATATTTAACCTAATTTACAATTTACCATTAAAATGAATGACAGGTAAGCCTAAAATTACAAAGACATATGGTAAGCCTAAACTAACATTGTAGTACAAAAGAATATCACTAAATGTTAATTAAAAAACCCAATCCTTAAAAGTAGTAGATACAAATCTAACTAAATGTATGTTATTGAAACCAAATAACTACAAATAATAATATTAATATCAAAATATTCAAAAATCTGTAACAGTATAAGAGCTTATCAGTCGGTGGACCCAAATGTTTGGGCCACCAAACTCAAGGCCCGACGAAGGTCAACTGATGTTATGATCAATCTCCCAATGTATTAAAGCTGATAATTCCTCAGTCAAGTACCACCATCTAAAGCCTAAGTACTTGTGCTGGAAGTAAATGAAAACATTTCCAAAGTGGAAACATAAGCTTTGGTGAAAACCAAAAAAAGTGAAGATCAATAAAGGTAAGTTATCACTTAAAACAGGTAAAGTGAAGTAGAAAAAATAGAAAATATTTCCAGTAAAAAAACAAAAAACACTGAAAGAGAACACAAACAAAAAACATATTGATGGCAGCACTGCAAAACGAGAAGTGATAGTTTGGCAGAATCAAACAGAGGGAGATACATGCATATAAAACCAATTTCCTAACAAGTGTCAGCAGATAATAATAACAGCAGATTCTATCAGAAAATATGGAGAGTGTTTTGTATTTGATACCTTGACTGAATTTTAAGTTCGATGAGAAATAGATAAATTTGACACATTTAAAGAACAATGTAAACAATCCTTATTTAGACAAAACAAAAAAACAGTTTGCATACCTGCAAAGACAAGTGGATGATTGTCTCTACTGGATCAGTAAATTCCTCAATGGCTTTCTATCCCTCAAGAGGAATATCTGCCAAACTAGTCATGATCAAAACCATGTAGAACTGAATAAAGAAAGTTTTCTTGAATCTAGAATGTAAACTCACTTTCTTTATCCAGTGAAAACATTATCTCACGACTTCTGTTTCCTGAAATTATTGATCAGCTGTCACATTCAGTAAACGTCAAAATCAACCAGCTTAGAGTATTTCTAAGCTAGCCATTTAGTTTAGAGTCTACATGCAATGCTGAAATATCCTAATGAATAGTTAAAACAAACCACAATTAAAAAATTTCTAGACCATGTGTAGCTGCCATGACAGCTTAGAAATTAAATAATCAAAAAATAAAAACAACAATTCTATCTCACTATAGTGTGTCCAAAAATTATATTGCTCAACATGCCTGGGGCATGGAGAAAACTATTTTATGTTTCCAAGTCAAGCAAAGTAAGTTGTTCATTTAATATATTATGAAAATTTTAAACATTGGTATGTTCACCCTCTAGACTTTCAGAATTTCCCAATTCAATACTACATCCTCTTAAAAAACAAAAAAAACAGATGTCAATGCCCCTCCACAAACAGTATAGAGTGCAAAGTACTCCAACTGTTCAGGCAAAGAGGTCTTATATAATAGTGATTTTACTTTACATTTATTTGATGATCATAATCAAATAACTTAAAATATAAAAACATTGGCCATTTGCAAGAAGAAAGGTCATCTACATCTCCTACCTGTACTGAAAAGCTTTCCACAACCACTCCAATAACACAAAGCAACCATCTCTTACTATAAAAACTCCACACAGAAAAAAGTGAGTATGAAAAACCAAACAAACATGTTGTTTCAACTAATTGGCTACAAAAATGTGGGTGGCTTGAAGGCAATGAAGACCATATGGTGATGTGAAGCAAAATATATCATAGCCAGTTTTCCAATGCTGCTGATCACACTAGCTGATACATCTTGGTGATTGCACTTCGAATTACTTCTGTGAGAGCCCATAACAAAATAAAAAAATGGCTTGGGCATAAGAGCAAAAATAGGGGAAAAGAATTCAAAAGCTATGCCAGTTCAAAAATGTAGGATTCCACTGACTGAAATGCACAAAATAAAAGTGTTGTTTAACAATGCTTACTTTGTGGCAAAGAAGAACAAGGCATTTACAGAATTCAAAAACTGTGTGAATTTCAAGTGATAAATTGAATTGTTTGTTGACAAAACTATTTAAACAACGAATGTGCCAAGGAGTTTGTTTATCACACAGCAGAAGTATTAAAAAAAGAATTAGTAACAAAATTAGAAGGAGCAAGATCTACAAGAATAATCTCCATGACTGAAGCTTTAGTTTCTGGATGGCCAGGTGTAACATGTCAGATCACGGCTGCTATCACAAAGATGGTCAAAGAGGAAGTGGAAGGACGCCCTCACTATGGCAATGCACAGATAGAAGCCGACTCCATCGAACTTGGACATCCACAATCCTAGTAAAAAACAACAACTCAGAGTGAAGAATGAATCACATATGAACCTTTGAGAATCTATAAACTGATATAGATGAGAAAGATAGATGACTGGACATCAATCTCCTTTCTTCTTGGGCCCAACAAACTGATGGGAATAAAACCCAGGAAGAACTGGCACGACTCTCTCTCTCTCTCTACTCCCAAACCAACCAGCTTGATAGCCATAGGATCTGTGGGAGATGGAAACCCTACAGGTTGGGTGGATAATGGTGGTGAAGATGTGAACTGAATGACTAATCTTGACTCAAAAAGCTGTAGTGCCAGTGGATCCATGGTTAAGGTGTACCACACATACAGAAATTCTCTGAGCCAAGCCCCCACAGACCCTGAAAGCATACAATAGTCACAGATGCTATTGGCTGCATTCTGATCATGCAGTGGAACCCATGGATACGTACAGAGTCTATTCTACCAATGGACCAAGGGGCTGATGTCGGGATGAAAGGCAAGATGCCAACAACAGAGATGAATATAGAAGCCAACAATCTAACCAATGTGCATGCAACACAATGGTTCCAGCTCATTATTAATGGATTTGGTGATCCTGAGAGTCTTCCAACAAAGTTTAGTTTTAGGAAAAACAACACATTGAACTAACCAGAGGACATTGATCTCTTCAGGTTAACTACAAATTCCACTCTAGAACCCCTAATTTCCAGGAGCAGATGTATTCTTTGAAAGTTTAAATATACTTCTACCTGGCCATGGTAGGCTATATCCTGTAGTTTGTGGACAAAGTGAAGTTAACATCTGGATGATGGAGAAAAACGGATGAGAAGATAAGTATCCGAGACATCCACCTTTGTCATCCAAAAACACAGAATAAACACCTACTGAAAGAGAACTGAAAGACCTTCTAAATGAAACCATTAGCTGCACTAGAAAATGTTTTGAAATTTTTTTACAGAAATCATTATCGCACTTCCATGTCTTTGACTTTACCCTATTGCCTATTATGAGTGCAGAAGTTCTTGCAACATTTGAAAAAATTAAATTTCAAAATTAATTCAACAATTTAAGCCAATTTTAAGTAGTAAAGAAAAAAAGAATGTGCCAAGAGTGAGTAAACTGCTTTAAAACTAACAGTAAATAAAATGAAAGAGAACACCTGCAATATTCTTCCAGTATATATGTTCAAAACCAAGCCAGAAAACATTGAAAATGTTCTCTTAATTGAAATTCTGCATGTGAAAGAGGGTTTAGTGTAACGAATAACTTCATGATAATCAGCGCAGATAGACCTCATCTGGTTGATTTTCAGCCACATGCTGCTGTGGAACATTGGATGTTAGAGATTCTTAGGACTAGGCACACAGCTAGACATGCAGTGAATTCAATTGTCACTGAGAACTCCCCAGAAGCTAAATGCTGCTCAATTTAAGGTATGGTAAAGGTTAATTTTTAGTTTAACACTTTGGACATGTAAATTTTTGCATTAGGAATGTAAAAGTTGGAACTACTTGCCTAACCGAGCTTGTTAAAATTTCTGAAATTTTCAATCCACACTATAGAAGTAGTAAATGCATGATATGCTCACATATCACATGCTGGATGCAATAAATTACAGGAAGCTTAAGAGTAGGCTTTATTAATATTTGAATGATAAGGGCTATTGAATTTTTTAAGTGTACTTTAGTGAATGGGGCAGTATAGATGGGTTTTATGTTTCATTATTTAACTAGTACTTAAGTTATACAAATTAGTTACTTTTCTAAGAAAAACAAACAAATACTAAGGAAATTAACCATCCTAAAAATTCATACAAAGTGGTCAAATTTTCCCCAAAATTTTTTCCTTGACTTTCCAGGCAAAGTTTCAGACCAGCATACACATGCACACAACACAATGATATTTCAACTCCTCTATTTTCCAATTCCCTCACTTTTCCAGGTTTGTACTCACACTAGTCATTAAGAATAAGAGAACTCTAAACTATCCCTGTCAACAGAAAATTATAAATTACCAAGATAAAATGTGCATTACTAGTACAACTAATAATAGTAGTACTAGAACTAGAAGAACATCAATTGTACCCAATTAAAAAGGTTTACGCTATTTTATCATTGCCTTCATAGTTTCGGTTTGCATTCCCAACAATCAACAGCACTGTCAGAAGTACTAAAACTTATAAGGGCCTAAGCAGTACAGTAGTTGAAACAGTACTATTACTACTACCAGGCTTACACAGTGCAACTTGCACTGAATACAAGTTACAGTGTTACAATTACACTCGAGTCCAGACTCGGTGAAAACAGAATCTACTGAGAAATATAAATATACATTAATGGGTCCAGCTTTTGTGTGATACATTATCACTTGTAAGTTATGTTTCATCATCTTAAAGCTTTCTAGGCAAATAAGCATAAACTTGTAAGTTTTAAAAATGTATACATACATATATCAAAACTCACCTCTTCACCTGATGCCATGTTTACAAAGCTGTATTTTCGAAATACCAAGAAGATTGAAACTTCGTACAAGAAAATCTATGAGAAGTAGATTAATAGTGTTTATTTTTAAGTAAAAAATGGATTTTTCATTTTTTGAACTTTTAAGTTTTATGCATCTCATATGTACTTACATTAACTCAGTTTTCCATGTTTTAATTCATTTCTAAACATACATAATTCTAATTGTGAATTATTCATACCAAACATGATAAAGCATTTTTGAAAAGAGAAAGATCAAACTGATTAAAAATGACAATATGTCTGTCTAGTGTTTCTTTCAATACAACTCGTTCATTGTTGCAGATGTCTTTCTTAAATATAAAATATTATAATCTTGTTACAGCCACACGCGACTTTCAACAATATATTTTTTTTTTTTATGAAATCCAAAGAACTCAATAAAACTAAAATTTTTCGCTGACATAACCAAGCTGAAAATTCTAGTGTTTAAAAAATTGTCTTCTGGTAAGTAACTTTTTCTTTTTCTTTTTTTTTACAAGGAGGTTGTGGCATTTATAGGTAAAACTGATTTCTGTTAAGAATGAATAAAAAAGATACTCAATATAGCAGAAATTTCGACCAATAAATATTACGAAGTAATTCTGAATTTATCTGAAACTAACTCAGTTTGTGCATGAAAAGTGATTGGACACAAGTGTAAGTACCCATTGAAAACAATTGTTATTTAATGCAAGACTACAGAGTGTTAATAACATCTCTTATCAAAAGGCCTGGAAGTTTTGTCTCCTCTTGCACCTTAGACATATGGTGCTGCACTCCATTCCACTACTATAGTGGGAGTGTAGACAGATCTTTCCATGCTTCCCACCAAGTATATTACACACCATATAAAGAGTATTTTGCCCTCCGTGGATTCAAGAATTGACGAGTTTACGTCTATTCCTGTCTCTGTCCCCACTATCGTATCTAGTGACAGCTTTGGTCCCGAGGTGCAGAACCATTATTCAGTCACGCAATCAGTCACTGGAGACTCCTTCATCTGAGAGAGAGATCTGCCCAATTGGCCCAGGATAGGTTCCATGGAGGTTGACAAACCTCTTTCTATTAAATACATATGTCATGGTTGCAAATAAAAGGGTTCTTTACCTAGTTCTCCTCCTTTTAAGTAAAAATGGCCAGTTTGATACAATGCAACTGTCGAAGTTTTCGTTCTAATTTGGATGACATTAAAGCTTTGGTCCATTCCTATCACCCCGTGTGTCTCTCTTTACAGGAAACATTTCTCAGACATACCAATGCTGTCACCTTTTGGCAGTTTTCCTTATACCAGAATCACAGGTTGTATGATGGACGAGTTCATGGAGGTGTGGCACTGCTGGGTGATCAGCATATACCCACCATATCTGTGCCATTCAATATGCCATCGGATGCTGTAGCTCCATGGGTCATACCATCACTGTATGTTTTCTGTACCTGTCACCAGGAGAGATTTACGATCAATCAGACTTTGATGCTCTTATTTAACAGTTGCTGGCTCCCTTTTCCCTGTTGGGAAACTTTAATAGACACAATCCCTTTTGGGGTAGTTATGATATTGATGTGAGGGGTCGTTGCATGAAGCATATGTTCTCAGATCACAATATTTCTCTCTTCAGTACTGGTTCATTTACCTATTTTCACACTCCTAGTCAGTCTTTTACTGCTATTGATATATCCATTTGTTCCCCTTCACTTTTTCTCCTTTTCTTGACGGGTGGACAATGAACATTTTACCATCATTTTGACGGAGTTTGGCCACAGCCAATGCCACACAACTTGTGTGCCATGGTGGAAACTGGAACAAGCTGACTGTCTCTCCTTCACCACTCTCTCGGAACTTGATCCTGCTGTCGTTAGTCTTCCTACTATTCATGATTGCATGGAGGCTTTAACTGAATGTATTATTCAAGCAGCTGTTTCACTGATTCCCAAAACCTCGACATGTTTCCCGTGGTATCATCATTCATTTTAGACACCTAACTCCCAGCAGGTGCAGAAGGCTTAGAAACGGGTCTGGGATATCTTTTGCAGGTATTTCATTCTTTCTAACTGCATTATTTTCCAGCATATTTATGTCCATTCCCGGCTGGTCAGAAGGAATCTTGGATTAAGTTTACTATCAGCATCTCTACTACCACCAGTTTCAGGGTCTCTTTTCGGGCAGATTATCACTGTGACTATAATCGTCCATTTACGCGGGTGGAACTTAAACTTGCTCTTCATAGGTCTGGTAGTACATTAGTCGGACCTGATGATATTCATTTTGAGATGCTTCTAAATATCATCCCCTTGCTTTGACTAAGTGACAAGATGGTTAATATCTGTTCAAGAAACCAAACAACCTCCTTTTCCCACCCAATATGGGTTACCTCGAAATCATTCCACCATGGACCACCTGATTCATCTTGAAACCTCAATCGGGAAGCCTTCCTCAAGAGGGTGCATCTTGTGTTCATTTTCTTTTATCACGAGAAAGCTTACAACACAATGTGGAGATATGGCATTTCGTGGGATCTCCATTCCTATGGGTTGCATTGCCATTTGTTAATTTTTCTTTGCATCTTTTTTACTTGACAGGAGTTTCCAAGTCCATATCGGTTTGACCCTGTCCCATTCCTTCCCACAGGAACTTTGAGTCTTGGGTGTCACACTTTTCAGTATTAAGATCAATGATATCACTGAAAAACTTCCTCCCACTGTTACTAATAGTCTCAATGTCGACGGCTTCCACATTTTTTGTTGGTCATCAAATATGAGATTTATTGAGCAGCAGCTTCGAACTGATCTCACTCTCTTGTTGGGGGTGAACTATGGGAAGCAGTTTCACCTTTCTTCCTCTAAAACTGTTTGTGGTTTGCATCCTGATTCAGAGCTCCACATTGGTGGTTATGTTCTTCTTGTGGTGGCTGAGACTAAGTTTCTGGGACTTATCTTTAACCATAAGCTTACATTTATTCCTCACATTAAGCAGCTTTGTGTAAAGTGGACATTGGTGCTGAACGTCCTTCATGTCCTCTCTTCCACCTCTAGGGGAGTGGATTGATGTTCCATGCTCAAGATCTATCATGCCCTCATACAATCAAAGCTGAAATATGGGTGTATAATCTATGGTTCAGCTAAAGACTCTCTCTCCCTTGAAGATGTTGGACCCTGTGCACCATCTGGGGCTTCGGCTCTGCATGAGGCTTTCTGCACTTCACCAATACAGAGTCTGTACACTGAGTCCCATGAACCTCTTCTTCACCTCAGACATTCGCAACTTTCTTTGCAATAAGTTACGGCTTCAGTCCTTACCACGGCATTCCACCTGGAGTTGTGTCTTTCCTTTTCAATGGGCTTTGCTCTTTAAGAATCAACAGTCTACCATTCCTCCATTTGGCCTTTGTATCCAGGACCAGCTGGCTGAATTGAGTCTGCCATTGGATGACGCTTGTGAGTTTGATGATTAGCCCTTACCTCTACGATTCATTACCACCCCACCTGTGACCTTTGTTTGAGTCATATGAGAAGGACAGATACTCGCGATTAAAAGTACCGTCGTCTCTTTACCAAATATCTTTCAAGCCATTCTTCTGTTCCCGTTTTTACGAATTGTTCGAAATCAGGTTATTCTGTGGAATCCGTCGTGGTTTGTTGTGGCTTGATGGTTGCTCACAGTTTCTGTCTTCACTGCTGAGTTTATCTAGTCTTGGATCACCTAGAGACTAAGCAATACATTAACTGTATATATATATACTGAGTCTCTTAGCTCTCTACTAGGCCCTGGAATCGCTTAATGTGAGTTCTTACACTGTTCTCTTGGAAATTTAGAAACGACTGGCCCACTTTTCTCTGTAATCCATTTCTATTCAGTTTTTCTGGATACCTGGCTATGTCGGTATTCGTGGAAATGAATTTGTTAACACCGCAGTTAAGTTCATCTGCTCTGGCATTGTCACAGCTGCACATCTCCCATACTAGACTATGGTCCTTTGATCAAAGTATGGCTTCATGCCAATTGGCAGTTGATTTGGGATGCGCAGCTTTGTAACAAGCTTAGTTTCAATTGCCCACATTTTACTTTCATGACATTGTTACGACTGTGAGAAGCAGAACCATTTTAGTGATATATTTTCTAAGGGTTTACCTTTGACATTAAACAGTGTCATTCGCAATGGTGATACTGTCCAGCTTGTTCGTGTTTTTAGAATTTTGCGGGCCACTGGTCTTTTTAATTCTATTTGATTTTTTACCTGATTTTTGTAGATAGATTGATTAGCTTTTAGTTTATTTTCTTTTTAATTTTTATAGAGTTTTAGTTCTCTTTGCCTTTTTGATGATTATATGGCATAGATAGCTTTGCTACTTTGCACCATTAAACTCCAAACAACCAACCCTTACATAACAGATGATAGCACTCCTGTTTCTCAGGTCCACCACTCTGGCCAAAACCATCGAGTGCTATCGTTGTGGAGTTATTATGGATCTATAATCCATAGTTTCGATTCTCTGTTTGATTTCAGTAACCCCAAGCATGTCTTCAAATACAGTTATGTCAATTATACATTCAAGGTAAAAAATTATTTTAGTAATAATTCCTTATTTTCAGCAGCAGGATGGTGGTAACAACTGTGGTCTTTTTGCGATAGCATTTCTAGCACAGTTCCTTCATACAGCGGGGATAGGCAATACAGAAATAAACTTTAAGCAGGAACATATATGATTACATTTGATGGATTGCCTAGAAAGGGGGGCACTGACACCTTTACCTCAAGAAGCACGAAACAACAGTTGTAATGCTCAATAACATTAATTTGTAAGTGTAGGCTTCCAGAGGTTACAAGAAAAGCTATTAGATGCCACAGTGGGTTGTCAAAATCGTGTAACTTATTGTATCATAAACACTATGTAGTAGTAAGAAGGGGTCATGAAGTTAACTGGTTATGTGACAAGTAAAGAGGGTTCAATGGATAAAAGTGATGCAAATGAGAATAAAATAGTTAGTTTTACCTTGTAATAATACAAATATAATTATA